CACCGTAGTGTGCGCTGGTCAGACCCTATCCCCCGAAGCCCCGATACATTCGGGAGGGCGCGCCAGCATTATCAACCAATGACCACTCCCCACACCGTGGGGTAAGTGATCATTGGGTCCGAGAATCATGTGCCCTGAGCAAGCGCAGCGAGCCAAGAATGACAGCCTTCTGCATCTGTGCGGCTAAGATTTCTGCCTCAGTGCGGCAAATCGGTATGATTTTAAGATTCGAGAGTAAAGAGGAAATCATTCCTCCAAGGACTCCAATAATCAGAACAACCATCTTGACAGAGTGATCTGGATAGAGTCTGTGGAGTTCGAAGAGAAAATCTCGATATTTTATCCGTTTTTCCTCCTCTTTTCTGACGATATTCGTCTCGCCAGGAGCTGAAAACTCCACGACAAATATCGTTTTGGTCTGGTGGTCGAGAAGGACTACATCAGGCTTATTAGCTTGTATGAGCCTGAGGGCTAATTATTATTATTATCATCATCATTCCGCTGCTTCATTGACAGCATTCTTTTACCAACACAGGACGCGGACAGGATAATTGAAAACAGACCTAGTACTAAATTTTTAGGGGTGATAATTGACAATAAACTCAAATTCGATGATCACATTGTCACCCTCAATAAAAAACTAGCTCCTGGGTGTTTTGCAGTGAGAATAACATATAAAGATTTTGGTTTGTCTGCCGCTAAATCGGCTTATTTCTCACTTGTTGAGTCACATTTAAGGTATGGAATTCCTTTCTGGGAAGTATGTTGCAAAACTCAAATGCAGACGGTGTTTATCATTCAGAAAGGGGCTATAAAATTCATGTGTAATGTCAAAAGTCGTGACTCCTGCAAACCCCTATTTGAATTACATAAAATCTTAACAGTTTTTGGAACCTTTATTTTAGAAATAGTATGTTCAATTAACAAACATAAATTGATATTTAGCGGTTACTCCAATTATTATGCCCTTCGTCAATCTAACGACCTAAGATTACCCATACAGTTATTTACGAAATAAACAGATTTCAACAGGGAGTTAACAGATTATTTTCCAGAATACGGCTAACCGGCGTTCATCGTGCTGTACCCTGTATATTATGTCAACTGACGTGTTCATTGTAATTTTTTCTCTTCCAACACATTCTATCAATCTTTATTCAACTGTTTTTTGCAATTTCTACGTTTCTACGTTCCAATAGATGGAATTTATCAGACAGATATTCCCCTGTTCAACTTCAAGCGTCTCCAATAGCCAACATTATATCTCAATTCAACTCCAATCTAAGTAGAAAGCAAGTCTGTTTCCAGGAGAAAATTACCAAAACTGTAAACTGCTGTAAAAGGTCGCTACCTTGTGAATTTACGGTTATTGCTGTTAGGAGGAAATCTACAAACTTTAAATGTAGAATGTATGGCAAGTTTTGTGTTTCACTTGGAGAAGTGGTTCTGCGTTGCAGGAAACCATCTCCTGCGGGCTGATTTACGGCAATTTGAAGCTATAAGACGGCGTGCGAATTCGAATTCAGGAAAAGAATTCAACGTTGGAGGGAAAATACCACATACAATATTCACTGGTTGACTCTGAAGTTTTGTTTGGATGATAACTTGCACTTTGTACATCGAAGAGAGGATAGCTATATAAATAAAGGTCGAAGTCCTAATTCAGCAAGTAATGACTACTTTTTGACAGTTGTTCATTATGAAATATTTTCATTCGAAAGTTTTTGATTATACAAAAATGATTTTCCACAGTTGAACAGCAGACATCCAACATTTAAAAATAGGTTGACTTTCTTACAGTTTTGATATCAGATTGGAAACATTTTTATATTTCGTATACTGGTATTGAAGTGTTGAATTATTCGTAGCAGACCTCATGTTGTTTTGTATTCATTAGTCTCTCAACTGTCAAAAAGTTATTTTTGAGGCGAGATAGGTTTATGAGAAAAAATCGTGATGATATGAATGAAATAAGTGCTCCATTTCGTAATGCTATCCATATTGGTACTCAAGAGGTAATTAAACAAGTTTCTTATTTCGAAACATCGGATGTTCGCCATTAAGGATGACAGGAATTCATCTAAGTGAGCGCTTGGCTGCGGTCACTTTCTTTTCCAGAGATGCTTTCTTATCTTTCGGAGATGCAATCTTCTTGCCGGGTTCAGCTTTTTCACCAGCTTCGCGTTCAACAGGAGTTTTTTTGACCTTCGCACCAGCCGTAGCCGAAAGTTTTGCCGAACCAGATGATATTAATACCGCTGCACCTTTTTCTTCAGGGTGTACTGATGACCCACTGTACATTTAAAATACTTCTTGAGAATGGTGTGCCACTTTTTCTGCGACAGCCTTATAATTCGCTTGTAAAGAGGAACCTTTCCGTTTCTTCAATCCTTTAATGGCGGTATTAACCATTTCCGACGTCGGTGGATGAGGAGGTTCACTTATAGGAGCTTACTACGCATAGTTACTTGGCAAGTTGAAGGCAGAACTTGCGAAAAAATTATCATATTTGCAGAAAAAATCCTATTTCACCAAGAAAACGCATCGTCTTACATCTCAGAGGTTTCCATGACGAAAATCCACGAATTACGGTTTGAGGTGGGCTACCTACCGGGCGTTTCCCCAGGTGGCATATAGTGGCAGAAATAAGTAGCCAACAACAACAAATAAGTCCTCAAAAGCCTTCGCAAAACATGCCACCATGAACTAGCCTACCCATGCTGAGGTGTGAAGAATTATGCCGACAGCTGAATGGCCGCAGGATAATATGCAGTTACGATCCTCTTGGGGAACCGGGCAAAACCTCATTGTAATCAGCCTACCTCTGGTAATTCGGGCCTTTTCCAGAGATAACCAACACTTCCCTTGCGTGCTCACCTCAATCTGAGGCGGTGGCTGGGGGGGAACAGAAATGTCCACCCCAATCTACAGCTTGAAATGAGGCTGGACACAGTGGATCACCTCGTGATGTAATACAAAGGCCAAGGCGTAAGCGCATTTACGGCGGCGAGGCCAAAAAGAGAAAGAGAGCGAGAGGCAGGAGTGGCAGCAACTATAAGTGCATCTTCTTCCTTCCCCACTCCATCTCCAACAGCAAGGACACTTTCTGCGGCGGGCGCCAAGAGTTCCGCCTTGAATATAGGCAAGTAACCGGCTGCTCCTGCAGGAAAGCGTCCTCACTTGTGCACCTCCATGGAGCGAACCCCAAGAAAGTTGAAAAAGCCGCGCAACGACAGTCATGTCGCTGCACCTTCCAAAACCTTTGCGGAGGCCACCGTGAGACAACCCAAGGTTGCCAAAGAGAGTGTGTGCTCGGTGAGTCTTGGCCTACACCTGCCAATAAACAGGAGATGTATCCTAGTGACCTGTCCACCTTCCTGAAAAGGACAGGATGTACGATGACCTAGGAGAACAACTGCTTTGGAGAATGTACAATGGCTCACATGTGGCCTAAGTGCTGTGGGTCTACACTTACCCCCTCTTCTCTACAGATACAGATATAGAGAGATACGGTTTGAACTGGTTGACCATCCACCTCAATCACCAGATCTAACTCCAAGCGACTTATTTTTGTTCCAGCATGTGAAAATTGCGCTCATAGGAAAGAGATTCACGTCAAATGAAGAGGCAATCACTTTCGTGTCAGAAGAACAATATATAGAAAGATGACCAATAATAAGATTTCGAAACTAGGCTCTGCTATTGAGTCTTCAGTCTCCTAATACCTGAGTGGTTCCAGAAGTACCCAGCCCCACCAATAGATGGCGGTAGCTGTTTGAAAAAATATCTTTTCATATCAGTCTTTTCTAGTTTATCAAACTTTCCTTGATAGAGAGACATTTGCCATCTTCCTCCGGACCCAATGTCGTTCAGTCGTACAACATGTTGCTCTTTGGGTTTGTTTCCACCACGAGTTATAGAATTTTCTTCCTAAAAAATGCACATTACATGTATATTCCTCTTGCATTGAGCTGCATTTGAATTGGAATCAGTGCAACAGATCTAGGCGTCAGTTTCATAAGAAATGCCATAAATGTCACTAAGGGCACTGTTCTGCGGACCAATTTCAATGCAGCTTCGAAGATGAGATATGATTTTCTAAAGTGAGCTCATGTTTCAACCAGCAGAACTCGTGAAAACATAAGTCTATCAGGCCAAGACCAGAAGAACAATATATAGAAAGATGACCAATAATGAGATTTCAAAACTAGGCTCTGCTATTGAGTCTTCAGTCTCTTAATACCTGAGTGGTTCCAGAAGTACCCAGCTCCACCAATAGATGGCGATAGCTATCACGGTATTGGAAAGTAAACAATCTTGAAAGTATATGTTTGAAGTTTGAAGACGGTACGTTGTTGGAAAGTGAATCATCAGGTATAACTCGAAAGTGGACTCAATTTGTCCAACAATGGATTTAAAATAATTTTCAATCAATGAGTTGCCTATTTTCCATTAGTTAGTTCAATATTCATTGGTGATTTATAATGTGGTACCGTCAAATTCATAGTTATGAGTGAAGGTACTAATATTACAAGTGGGGAATATGTAACAACATTTTTCCGAATTCAGATATAATTTTATTCGTCCTCTGTCAGATGTACGTCATACCCTTCTGGAAACAATTCTTATCACCCTTGCCTCCACTGTCTCATATTCACATGAAACATGATCAGCTTTGTTCTTTCGTTGCATTTTCTGCAGCTAAGGCCTCCATTATACGATCCTATATTGCTTAGGCATGCTCTTAGTGGATAGCAAGAAAAGCTGTTCTTCAGTGTATTTCAGTAGGTACCTTTCTTTTGGTTTTGGGCGAGTATTATATGAAGATGATGATCTCTGTGTCCATAACTCTCACAAGCTCTTTACTCTATGTGATTTTTGTCTTGGCATCGAGTATAGAGTTAAAAAAGGTCATAACATTGATAATGACATCAGCAACGACGATCAGCAGATGAACAATCATCATAGAATTTTTTTTGCAGACTCTTCCGACTAGGAAATGTCAGACCAGTAAAATCTCAGAAGGTAACGAAGAGTCAAAGGGATGCCCAATCATCATCGTTCTTCCATTAGACCATGCTTTCCATATGCCCATACAGGCGTAATCTTATAATATTATGTGTCCTACTAGTACACATACTCGACGTTAGCTGTGGACCTCGCTATAGTTCCAGAATAGTGGATATCCAGACAGGAGCGATTCGAGGAATAATCCTGGAACTCAATTCCAGACATTTGGAACCCGTCGAGGTGAGTTTATCATTGCATATACCTAGTGACTGTGTTTCCGAAAACCAGGGGTTAGAAGACTATTGGAAAGGTAATATCCAGTGCATTCAACAGAAAAATCATACTGAAGAATCTTTCAATATTGATGGTGGAGGAGAAATACAATTGTGTTGTATAGTAGTGAACAATGTCGAAGAAACGAATCCAAACATGATTTCGATCTGTTAGTGTACAATTTCCAGTTTATGATTATGATACCACTCGATATTTCGAAAAATTTAGTGAGTTGTGATCATTTCCACTGTGTCCCTCATCATTTTTATTATTTGTTACAGGTTTTTCGAGGAGTACCGTACGCAGCTCCACCGGTTGGGCCGCTAAGGTTCCGCTCCCCAAAACCTCCCCTTCCCTGGCCCGGTACTCGTCTGGCTGATAGTTTCGGTGCTGCCTGTCCCCAAAAGTACCCGGATGTGAGTAACAGAACGGCAGCTCTTCAGTACATGCCAAAAGGTCGTTATCAATACCTTAAAAAGTTGGTGCCGCTCTTGGTTAACCAATCGGAGGACTGCTTGTTCCTGAATATCTACGTTCCAGGAAGTGGTGAGTGTTCCAGTTTGATCATTCGTCATGAAATAATTCTGAAAGTCCATTGAAAATCATTTGTTAACTGAAAAATACAACAAGTTGTCTGTTTTGTTTTGGAATTGGTGTGATTTACAGAGTAACCGGTGGCAAATAAAAAACAATGAGATTAAGTAGACCAAGGATTATAACGGAGTTATTCTCGAAGAGTCAAGTTTTTGTGCCATCATGAACCCCCCACCTCAACCTGAGCAATGCGAAAGTCAAGCGCTTTGATAAACCAAGATCTTCAATGTTACTGAAGAAGACCCCATGCATTGGCTTGTTTCGCCGCTTGAGTGAGGTTATCTCTGTGGCTTTCATATGAGCCTTCTGCTCAACGGGTTCCAACTTGGTGAAAGAGTTGTGAGCACCTCGTTCAGTGTCGAAAACTAACCCAAGTTCATCAGGTGCTCGGACAGCTGCCCTGAAGACAAATGCTCCAATTCCTGCTCTAGTGTAAAAATTTGTTTTTCATTTCGGTATGTTGTATCTGTTTATTGTATGCATGAACTTCAGCTTATATACATATCCATTTGAGTTGTCTCGGTAGAGTTAGGGTCTAGTCACTTTCATAATCATAATATCAAATATCATAATATCATAATATCATATTTTTTGATATGATAAGGACGGTGACAGTAATTGAAATTTCTGAAAAAATGCCAAACTAATCACGTATGATTCAAGATTGATGTCATCTACATGTTGATTTTATGGCTTTCAGTTGTATCGCTGTTGGGACGAACCATTTCATCGCTGTAGAACTCTATTTTGGTGGACTAGCCTTCAAGTTCTACATAATTTTATCATTTCTAAAGGAAAAATCGCTTCAGTACTATTTTGGCGGCCTATTGTTCAATTCTTCATCGTACTAGCTCCTGTGAATATTCCTGTATAGAATGAGGCCAGAACTTTCACGTTTTTTTTGCGGATTCAGGAAGTTTATTAAACGTTTATATAGGTTTAATTTTGGGGTGGATATTAAAACATTTATTCGGATATAACGGTTCGTATAAATTTCTAGTAATTAGGCTAATGCCAGAGACACATGGCGGAGAGCAACTGCGTTCGGCTGGCATCACCAAATGATTCTATCAAAGTTGAAATTGGGAGGATAAGTATACTGGATAATATTTGTGGGTCTGTCGGTTCACAAATGGAAATCTTTTGCTGTGCGTTTAGTCGAATCTAGAAACAGCTTTTTGAGTTTTTATATGGTCCAGGAAACATTCAGGTTGTGAGGATTTCCAATTTTCTTCTTCCCGTTTTATGTAACATCCAGATGTGAGAGAAATATCGATATCGTTCTGGACGAGCATCAGTTGCCTTTGACAGAATCTACGAAAAATCGTGGTCTCATAATTGACCAATCCCTCAAGTTTAACTTTCCTGTCTCTGAAATTAGGAAGTCATCGAAGAAAACATTATGCGACGCCCTAGTTCTTTCTCACGCCAACTATGCAGATTTGTATATGGCCCAGCGTTACGTTTATCTGATAAAAAGAGAATCCCTACGTAACGCATGCCTTACTCATTACAGGAACAGGAACTAGCGGGAAACAATACGTGTCTCATCAGTTGGAGAGACTGAGATAATAATAATAATAATAGCTTTATTGCCCAACAGTTACCCATTTACAGGACAATATACTTATTCATACTTAACCAGAAACGGAAAATGAAATGAACAAAAAAGAAAAACTGATTCTGATTACCTACTTCAAGTACATGTTAGCAATTCTAATAATATTGTGAAATAAATCACCATGGGCACAAATGCTATCAAAATTTGTGCACATAACATACAATATTGGGGAATTGAGCATAATGTTAGTTCTTGCTCTGAGAGGTCTTGAAATGGATTGAGATTGTGAAGCTGGCCGTGATTAATTGAAGAAGATTTGTTCAAGAATTTCAGGACAGTCAACTCTATCATTCACTAACTTGAATAAAAATATGAGCGACGCACATTTTCTGCGATGCTCTAAACTAAAAAGTTCCAAACGTTCATATATGATATCATTACTAATACCTCTCTCAGGGTGAGAACCATCAATTCTGAAAATTAGAAATTCACAAAACTTTCTTTGAAGTCTTTCGATGGCTATGTTATTAATCTCATAGAATGGACTCAGACAATACTTGCATATTCTATCTTCAAACTAACGTAGGTGAAATACAACAGCTTCATGGCTTCAATATTATGAAAGTTTCTGCAATTTCTAACAATGAAACCATGAGCTCGGAGAGATTCTGAAACTTTTTGTGAAATATGTCTACCAAATGTTAATTTATGATCGAATATTACCCCTAGGTCTTTGATCTCATTACATCTCAGCAGATCTGAATCCATACGGGAATGTATAAACCTCTTTTTTTCGTCTATAACTCACTACTTTACATTTCTCCACATTGAGTTTCAATTTATGACTGCTACACCAAGCAACAAGAAATTCTAATTGAGATTGAAGATTTACACAATCACCTACTTCTTTGATTATAAAAAATAATGAGCATAACCGCTCACAAGCTAAACTCTCACATAAGTCATTAATTAACAATAAAAACGAAAGAGGGCCTAGGTTGGAGCCCTGAGGCACACCAGAAGAAGCTATATATGTTCCAGATTTATAATCGTTATAGGAGACAAATTGTTTTCTACATATCAGATAGGATTGCATCAGTTGAGTGACAGTATTCGAAAAACCAAAACTCACCAGTTCATGGAGCAAGATACCATGATCAGTTTTATCAAATCCTTTAGAGAAATCCGTGTATATAACATCAACTTGGCCATAGTTATCTAATGCCTCGGAAATAAATTGAGTAATAGTGACTAGATTCGTAACAGTAGAACGCTTAGTAACAAATCCATGTTGATGTTGAGATAGTTGCCGTTGAACAGAAACATATATGCGATTATATAAAATGATCACAAAAATTTTAGAAAACATACATAAAATAGATATGGGTCTGTAATTCTCTATATATGATTCTTTAGCACTTTTGTATACAGGATATACTTTAGCTAAATTCCAAATATCTAGGAATGATCCAGATATCAGACTGAGAGGGCTGAAAATGGAAGCTTGACACATATTCAATGCTTGTACCACCTACCATAAGATTATAACAACAAAAGTACCCAGTTACCTTCACGAGAAAATAAGATATAGAACAGATATATCCATAATTTGAATCTGAGATTCAGAAATCAACTAACTACACCCCGCCACAGAACCACTTTATTTCGTTGATCCTTTTCTTATAATATGGCCTGGATTTGTAATCGAATTCCCAATTCAGTATTATTACTCCCAGCGCTAGATTATAAAAATAAACTCAATATTTACTTACTGAAACGCAAATTGACCCAGCTCCTTTATCAATAAAATAATTTTGATGTAAATGAGCATTTCATACTGTTTGATTTCCATTTTTTCATTGTTGTCAGTACTAACAAAAATGATTCTGGTGCATTTGGCATTGAAATATATCCAGGATTTACTTATGTTATGCATGTACAATAATTTTTTTTCTCGAGGTCAAATGGAACAGCAACTTCTGATTGAGTCATTCGTGACAAGATCAGAAATTGAATTCTGCCTTTTGATATATGGTAGTAGTAATGGATATTATTGGAATGTTATCCCAACACCAAACCGTTATTTTCAACACTTCGACACGTGTTTCAGTCCCCAAGTGATCATCTTCAAGAGGAAAATCAAACTAATTAATTAGTCTTCCTCCTGAAGATGGTCACTTGATGATTGAAACACGTGTCAAGGTGTTGAAAATGACAGTTTGGTGTTGAGATAAAATAACAGTAATATTCTACATGTTTTTGATAACATTATTCTTCAGTTCGTTGTTAGGACACTACGAATCACATGCCACTTGTCAATTTTCATGTCTAAGTAGCCTATTCAATATGACATTGATACATGAAGCTTCGCCTGCTTACACATTACATATTTTTTCAATAGGAGGATAAATCGAGTGGTTCATTATTCGAAGCATCTCATTTCCTTTCACTAACTATGTATTTTTTTCAATTGGTCCATTTGAAATAAAGAAATTCGTTCATAAAATTATATTCGAGAAAAACATGAGACTTAGCTTCCGTTCCTTTCATTGAGAACATTCAACAACAAACGATATGAAGATGGAAACAAAATCAACAGATATATTTTTCGAAATGGCCTTCATTGACTTCTGCAAAATTAATTTCACCAAAGATGTCAGAGGTAAATACCGGCATTTCTGAACAATTCTCTGTCGTAGCGTTACTGAAGTTATAGGCTTGAAACTTTCAATTCGAGGTGTCCCCACAAAGGAATCCAGATGGTGAGATCAGGTGATTCAGCTGGTCACTTCTTTGGAGACCGACTCATCGCATTGGGAAGTATTCACTTCAAAACTGACTGGAGCATAATCCTGCTGGAATATAATTCCATTTTCTAGCAAATTGTGAAAATTTTCTGAAAATTTGGAAGTCACAGAAACTTGTAATACCTGGGGTGTTAGTCCAGATTATTACTGTACTTAGTATCAAATTTAATTATTTACTGTCCTCCATCTGTCACCAATATATCACCATTCCGTAGGGCTGCTGAATTGTTAATTTATGATCGAATATTACCCCTAGGTCTTTGATCTCATTACATCTCAGCAGATCTGAATCCTGTATTACATACGGGAATGTATAAACCTGTTTTTTTTTTGATAATAACTCACTACTTTACATTCCTCCACATTGAGTTTCAATTTATTACTGCTACACCAAGCAACAAGAAATTCTAATTGAGATTGAAGATTTACACAATCACCTACTTCCTTAATTATAAAAAATAATTTCGAATCATCCGCGAAGCATAACCGCTCACAAGCTAAACTTTTACATAAGTCATTAATTGACAATTGAAACGAAAGAGGACCTAGATTGGAGCCCTGAGGCACACCAGAATAAGCTATATATGTTCTAGATTCATAATTATTATAGAAAATTTGGAAGTCACAGGAACTATACATTTTTGTGAAGGATTCAATGGAATAATTTCAATGGAACATAGTCCAACAATACGATTACCAATGACTCTGGCTCAGAAATTCATTTTTTTTAGTTTCTGCCTTATATTTCATTTAGCACGAAAGTTGTTTTTTTTTTCAATTAATAAACTGGTCTTATTAAAAAAAAACAAATTTGTGGGCTTTTCTCGTCAGAGAAACATCAGGAACTCTAGCTACCAACCTATCCGATGAGTAGTCGATTATCCGTTTATAAATAACCTGAACAATTCCAATCGTATTTTTTCCAAGAGGACGAAAATTTGTATTGAATTTGTATTGAAACTAGATGAGTGATAACACTCACCTAGACCTAGACCTAGACCATCATCATCTGTCGCCACACGTTGGGTGCCAGATGCTAAGGATCTCGTAAACTCTTTCAAGTACCTTGATACAAAATTTGAACCTTGATTTTTTGGTGTAAGAGGTATGCTGGGACAAAATATATTCCGCTGTGTAATGAGCTCATACTTCGTGGTACGTCGGTTCATTTTCTTTCCCGCATCAAATAACTCACTCCTATTGGTCTCTGTTATCATCTGTTCAAGGCTGAATCACAGTAAACGGACCATTAGTTGTGTATAGCAAACAATCGAAACTCGTAAAGTACGTTGTGTTTCTCCATTTGAATTTCGGTTGAAAAGCATATCCATTTATTGTAATAACCCTTTCTGTTGTATGAAATATAATTCAGACAAGATAGGTAAGCTACCTCTTTCATTATTTCAATTCATAAGTTTATCTTTCATCCATAATCTGTGAAAATAAACCCTGTGCAAAATTTGTCCCACTATACAACAACACATATTCTCTTACAGAAATGGCCAAGAGATTTTTCAAGGAACCCTTGCCATTTACGCTGATTGGGATGACAGAACAGGAACTGTACAATGAAATAAACCTGGAAGTTGATGCTACGGAGGATTATGCAGATATACCTTCTGATATTGGGTCTGAAAATGATAGTGATGGGGATGACTGCGAAATTACCAATGCAGAAGCTGAATTCAATTTTGATGGTGATAACATAATGCTGTCGAATAAAGAAGATGAGACATCGTTACCCATGGATACATGGGACCCAGAAGATTTGCTACCCCTATCACAGTTGAAGGCAATGAGGAAGATACAATGGTGCAAAATGGATAAGATCACTCCACCAGAAGATTTCAAAGAACCTTTCGGTGTTGCTCAAGATATCAAGGATTTGAGTAATCCATCACCTTACACTCTTTCCTGTCAGTTTACTTCGGATGAAGTATTGAATAATATAGTTTTCCAGACTAATCTATATGCTGAGCAGAATTATCAGAAAAATGGGAAACCATTTAAACTGGGGAATAAATTTGTTGATGGGCATGAAAGAGTTACCATCGTACAGAGATCACTGGAGTCAAAATCCCGACTTTCATGAATAAGTAAATTGAAGACTGTTCACCGGTTTGGATGGATGTTGAGTAATATTCATCTGAATGACAACACTAGAATGCCTGAAAGAAATACCAACCAATTTGATAAACTGTATAAAATACGCCCTTTCATGAAAATCATCAGAGACAATTTCAGGAGATGCATTTACCCATATGAACATATATCAATAAATGAGTCAATGATCAAATTCAAAGGTCAATCTTCTTTGAAGCAATATCTTTCAAAAATACCTATCAAAAGGGTATATAATACTGGATGATTTGTGATGAAACAGGATATTGTATGGACTTTGGAGAAGTGGAAAAGGCTTTGGGTTCTAGGGTTGTGAAAAGATTATCTTCAATGATTGAAGGTAAATCTCACAGACTATACCTTGACCATTTTTTTTTCGAGTGTTAGTCTGATGAAAAACTTAGTAGATGATCATATATATATGCGTGTGCTACTGTTAATGCTAATAGAAAACATCCACCCATTTTCGCACCAGATAGGATCATGAAAAGAGCTGATTATGAATGGTTTTGCAGTAACACGGGAGTTCCTGCTCATAAATGGCGAGACAAAAGAGCAGTTCATCTCCTCTCGAATTTTCACAGTCCTCATCACGCAACTGAAGTGAGGCGAGAAGAAGCTGATGGAAGCATTACAAATATACCGTGACCTGTTGTTCTTGTAGATTATAATAAATACATGAATGCAGTTGATGAATTTTATCAAATGCGGGGCCGTTCATGGCATTGACCGTAAAAGTAAAAAGTGGTGGCACAGAATAATGTTCTTTTTCTTGGATGCTGCTGCTTCTGTTCGTTCATCTTAGACAAATTACTTGGTCTTCCGAAGTTATCAATGAAATACTCCCTCAGAAGTATCATAGTCGCTGATGAATTGGTGTCATCTTCAAGAACATCAACTAAATTGACGATACCAATAAAGAAAATGAAACCTTGTCAAAGTCTGGCTTTGAGGCTTACACAGAATGCACATGAGCCTGAACGTCTTTGCAGTTCAGGAGAGTTTGAGATCAGAACAAACTGGTTGTGTTCAGTTTGTAAAGTTTCACTTTGTCTTGGGAGAAACAAAACACGTTTCCAGATATATCTGTTTTTCTTTCTTGAATGATTTCCATTTGGTTTGTTGATGAATTTCTCAAAAAATAGGCGGAAAAATAATGCTGTACATCTAGGGGGCGTTTAATTTTGAATTTCCTATACTTGAAAGAGTTAACTCAGGGTTTTTTGGGGTTGTAGGAGCAAATGGAACAGATTTTGATCTGGTTGGCTTGGTCAATTTATTCGAGTGGTCAAAGGTGCTTATCAGATATGAAAGAACTGATACCACGAATTGTTAATATCCAGAAATACATTTCGGAGATGAACTTACATACCCCTGTACCAACTAATTCAAACCTACCTATACAAATGCAGGCACACCATAGGAAATATAAGTTATTTCTAGATTACTCGCAAAGACATTCAAAATAACTTCAGTTGTTTTGAAATATAATGTAATAATTAGAAAAGTGTCAATGATAACGATTTGTTTTCCACTGCAATCTGAGTACAAAATAAAATATTGAATGCAAAAAAACAATGGCGCTCCAACCGACAAAAGAAGGACGTCTGTACCACAACAAATAATTTTTGTGAATAGGAATGGCGTACAAAGAAAAGAGAATGGTGTCGTTACAGCCTTTGATATTGTATACAGCAGTAGTAGAAGAAACGTCACGCGTAAAAATCTACAGACCACGGCCAAATAAACGAAAAATAGCTTTTACACATCAGTCAATATATCCACCCCGGAGCTTAAGCAGGGTGAAATTCAAAATGAGGAGTAAGTGGAAAATAAAACAAATGATTGGACTACGTGAAATAGTCCAAAGAATTCACTCCAAACAAGTTGCAACCTCATACAGTTCGAATAAGAAAAAGTAGTTGACCGAATCCAACTGGAACGTAAAGGGCATCTCGTCACTCCAAATTGAAATCCTGGTCGCCAGCTGAACTCCGCAAAAAGCCCCTAATGGCCTCGACCTGCCATGGCCCTGGAAAACAATTGAAATAACAATCGTGTGTAGACTACATAAATAACGTCCGAATATATCACTGCTGATACACGAGCTCAAAAACGGGGTGAATGGATCGCTGGTGTTTTTGGAGAAATAATACCGGGGTTGTGGAAAAGATTAGTTCCTCCTCAGCAATCCAACTCATCAATTATGATTACGAATTTTATTCAATGCTGTCTCTATAGACTTCGTAATATCTGGAAAGTTAGTTCATATGCTTCACAATCTACGTCATACTGATTCATATAGACCTGTTTTCAAGCAAAAGAAGATATTAACAGCACTTTCTCTCCATATTCATAACTGTCAGCTCTTTGTAGAAATTCGCAAACTCGAATTATAAAGTAACACCCAATGTCATAATTACGCATTAAAAAAAGGAAATTCAATCAAACTACAACAGCATTGTACAAAATTATTCAAAACCACGCCATCTCAAACAGAGACTATCGAGTATATGGTTGGACTTTCGCCAGTCCACAATTTATTTCATAAACTAAAAGTGAAAACTATCAAGGATGTAGTTTACGTTTGTGGAAATAAATATTTTATAATGAATTTCGCAGTATTGATCTCTCCCAACTACCTACATAAAAGAGTGTTATGAACGTCTGCCGAAAGACAATTACTTTTCCGGCTAACACCACACTGGATTTTGGATTATATCCGACAGACAGATGTTTCTCGTTCATCCAGCAGCAGGAACATGCTGAAATTATTCAAGCAGATCACCTGCAGACCGCTGTTTTCAAATATCATCTCTCGTCAGTACAGGAACGATCGCAGAGAGCAAAGTGTCTCGGAATTGCTCCACTTTATATATGTAACCTTCTTCGAAGAGAAATATTGTTAACTAGTTACAACTCCATCTCGTGAACAAACCCCTAGTGGGGAAGAAACATCCCATATACCAAAACTCTGACAAAAATCAAAAGGGAGAACTATCGAGGGGAGATACATAGACATCCTAACAGGTCATTAAGTCTGTGAAGATAGCCAAAGACACGATTGAGAAGGGTTGGTGTGAAAGAACTAGAGGACTGGAGCCCATCAGGATAAGTTGAGACGCTCCCGTGGGTTGGGCTACCTATCGGGCGCGTCCCCAGGTGGTGGATACGGGAATGGCCAAGGAACTGGTGGCCCTGTACGGGAAGTCAATGTGGCCTTACGGATGGGGTCGCCGGACTCTTGGTCAGTGGCAGAAGTAAGTACGGTGAGGGTAACTGAAACTCCCCGAGAGCCTTCGCGAAACATGCCACCGTGGAACAGCCTACCCAAGGTAAGGTGTGAGGAATCGTGCCAACAGCTGAATGGCCACAGGGTGATATGCGGTTACGAACGATTCCCTTGATGAGCAGGGCGGAACCTCATTGTAATTAGCCTACTTCTGGTAATGCGGGGCTCTGCCATAGGTGACCATCTCTTTCCTTGCTACTCGTGTGAACACACATGAATGAAATAAACACAAAACCGAAACAACAAAAACCAATCCCAAAGCTGGACAGAAGTGGTCACCTTAATCTAAGGCGGTGGCTGGGGATGAACGGAAATGTTCACCCCAATCTACCGTTGAGAATGAGGCTGGACATGTCAGATCACCTGGTGATGTAGTACAAAGGCCAAGGCGTAAGCGCATTTGCGGCGCCAAGGCCAAAAGGAGAAAGAGAGTGGAAGTGGCAGGAGTGGCAGCAACTATAAGTGCATCATTCTCCTTTTCCACTCCACCTACAACAGTAAGGGCACTTTCTGCGGCGGGTGCCAAGAGCTGCGCCTCAAATGAAGGCAAGAAACAGGCTGCCTCTGTAGGAGAGACCCCTCACTCGAGCATCTCCACGGAGGAAACCCTTTGAAGGTTGAAAAAGCCGCGCAACGACAGTAATGTCGCTGCACCTTCCAAAACCTTTGCGGAAGCCGCAGTGAGACACCTCAAGGTTGCCAAAGAGGGTGTGTGCTCGGTGAGTCTTGGCCTGCACCTGCCGATATAAAGGAGATGTCTCGCAGTGACATGTCCACCTTCCTAGAAAAGACAGGATGGACGATGACCTAGGAGAACAACTCCTCGGAAGGATGTACTACGGGTCACATGTGGCCTAAGTGCTGTGGGTCTACACCGACCCTCTCTACCCTACAGATACAGATACAGAAATTGAGATGGTGCTCCTTCAATCTTTCGACTGGAGGCAGGCTCGGAAGGAAAGAAATCGCACACTTTCCATTTGAAACACCTACACAGCATCCTAGATAACATATCAGAAATTTATAACTATTGGACTTTTTGTAAGTGAATCCTGATCTTCTGGAAGGACAAAATAGTGGAACTTTTGGAGAGGTATCTTCATTCATTATTCAGATAACAAAAAGATATCTTCTCTTTGGAAAGGAACTCACCCTTTTATGCAATGAATGAACAAGTGAATGCAAGTTGATTGCCACAGAATAATTCAGCATCCCTATGAAACACTTGAATCGACAAGATCAGTCAATAATTCCATCATGTTGATGGTGCTCTCATCATGAAAATTCCAATCAATTTTGGGGTCCATGAATTATTGAAATGTACATACTAGCTTCCCCAATTGATGCAATTGATGAAACGACGAATACAAATGAAAAACCAGCTCTTGATCGGAGTTTCGGTTTGGATCGTCCATTCAGAAAGGAATGCTGTTTGAAATTCACGCAAATGATTCAGTTCAATTATGAACATGTTCGAAAGCTCAATGACATACATTGATTCGA